TGTAAGGAATCACTGATGGGTTATTATGATAAGGCAACTTACTTGTATAACAGATACTTTGATTTCCCTAGTATAAAACACTTCTGCCTTAGTTGTTGGAGGAAACTAAAAACAATCACTAAGAATTTTCCCCCAATCAGTAGATTTGTCCTGGCTCTTCCCCTAAGTAATTCATTAACAGAAGTATCCTTAAGTATCCTAAGTATCTTTAAGTATCCTTAAAGAAACAATTCTGTTTCTGAATGTTGGGTGTCTTACTACAGCTCTTATACAGTTTTAGTTCTCTATCCTAAATTTTAAAGAGAGGAAAACAAAACTACGTCCAACAGTTGCCCATTTTAATGTGGTTTTAAAAATAATCAAATATTCTGCCTCAGTACAAATTCAAATGATTATTTTAGTCCTTTAATAACCTCCAAATAATTGAGTTTACCATTTTTTCCACTTTTATAACAGTTTGATGCTACTGTGGAGATGCTATCTCAGGCCCCTGAGAACAAAGAATATACTTTCTGTCAAATATCTGTGAAACTTAAACTGAATAAAATGTCTTAAGTTCTTCCAAGAACTTAATGTTATTTTGCAAATACTCTTTAACATGAGTATTTGGCTTTCCGTCTTACTTGGTCCTATTTTCCAGTAAAAAAAAAAGAAACACAACACAAGCCTGCACTACTTGATTATGTTCAACATCTCAAAGTTGGCTCTACATATAAAAAACTGATGTCAATCTGTGCTTCAATTCATTTTTAAAAACAAAACAACAGAAAAGGCTACATTTTGTTAAGCAAGTGCTACCTCTATTATCATTGATAGAAGAGAGACATAACCCACAAAAATGAACACTGGGACATGTAGTTTTATATTGAAAGATGCATTTAAGAAAATGAAAGAATGCACTTATGAGGAGGAAAGGGAACAGGAAATCTTAAAAAAGACAACAGAAGTTCCTGCACACAAGTACATTAATAGCACTCACACTACCTTAATTAAAGAATAATTTAATTTTTCTAGCGAACAAAGAAAGCAGTAGCCTGGAAAAATGTCCTGATACTGCTACAACATTTTCTGAAGAATGAATTTCTCTTACCAGGGAAATAAGACCAAGACTTATGAACACAGGTCAAATGAAAAAACAAATGCCAAATGAAAAGTAAGACATAAATGGTTTCAGATAAAGCTTCAGCTGAACTTAGAGCACCTTTTGAAGAAAAAAAAAAGACTTAAATACTAACACTAAAGTTTCTTAGAATGATTATTTGCTATAAACTCCCTCCTCCAACTTCCCTCCAAAAAATCCAGGACAACATTTAATGAACATCCAAATGTACTTCCATAAGTTCTGGAATATGTCATCTAGTAGCAGAAGAAGAAAAAGAATGGCACCAAAACATTTGGCGATTAAATTTTAAAACTTTATTATAACTACCAATAATTAATAAGGTAACACCCAACAAAAATTTCTAATTTATGTATAATTTTTTTAAAAGAAAGAATTAAGTTCTTTAAACAGATAATATTCAACAAATATAAGTATTTCAAAATTAAACTAAGTATTGACATGAGGCTAACATCTTCAGATTAAGAGCTTAGAATATAAATCCTCCATTAAGGTTGCTTGTGACACAAAGAAATGCTGAGCTCACTGTGTTAATCATGCCTACTAAAAACAAAATTCTCCCCTGGATCTACCAGTACATGCAAGTTTATTAGCTTAATCGTGGCAAACCCTATGCTAATATGAAATCATCAAGAAACTAAAGCTCTAATTCCAAAATTAAAGTGATTAAATCCATATCTTGCATATGTCACAGAATTTCAAAGAGTTTGCATTAAGATGTGAAACTCTGAAGAGCAGATCTAAGTGTTACTGGAAAGGACAATTATGTTTTGGTAGTCCTCCTCTGTCCTTTTGCTATCTCTTGGAAAAGATCATTTTAAGAATTCTGTAATTTACCATGAAAAACATAATCAGTATCTCTGGAAACAACAGATTGGCTAAGTATGTGATGGACCATTCAGATAGTCCTAGTTACTTAACAAAATTTATTCTTCAAAGCCAAGACTTTCCATCTTAATAGACAGTTGCTTTTCATGAGGCACAATTAAGAATTTTCCCTCTCAAAGTTATAAAATATCCCATACATTGCATATGTTCACTATGCTGCTGAAGTTGACTACAACTCCCAGAATACAGATTTACACTGCTAAGAGACAGACAAGAAATGAACTAATACCTCATGAAACATATCATGCATTTTTTTTAAAAAGGTAACTTTCAGTCAAGTTAAAGCTCATCTGCTAATTTATCTCATTAACAAGGAAAAATCCACCCAAGATATAATTTTAAATACTGGTCATATCTTAAAAGCCAAATATATGAATGGATTCATTAATAATTTGGTGGCACATTATTTTTTTAACATTTCCAGTTGCTGGTTTATATTTTAAGAAGCTGTTTTTCAGACAAAAGAAAGGATTTTTTGTAATATATTTATAATACCATTTTTTCTAATAAAATGAAAATGCTAACTCTATCTTTAGCAAGATACAAAAATTCCAAAGTTAGACTATATGCAACAAAGTTTTCAAAAAGGGAAAAGAGGTCCAGTAAATGAAGACTAAGCACTGGATGGTGATTTGTTTGACTATTTCATACAACTAACAACTATTTAAACTATTTCATTATTGTCACACAACTCTCTTCATGTAACAGAACCGAGTTATAAAACTGACTAAACTGATCTGGATCTACTATAGTTCAAACTACATTCCACAAGCCATGCAATAACTACATAAACGTTAAGTCCTAATAGCAGTTTTAAAGCAGCTCTTCAAACAAAGAAATTATGATGGGTAGCATGGATCATGTAAATATACATAAAGTGAATCCAAAATTCCATTTTGACTAGGTATTTCGACCTCCTACGTGACTTTTTGTCCAACCACTGCCAGTCAGAAGCCAAGCAGAATTTCCTACCCCAAATACCACTCATTCTAAGGTGGGAGTCATAGTAAAACTGTCAAAAACAGTTAGCTAGAAGGAGGAAGCTGAGCAATCTACAGATGACAGTCCCTAAATAACTAAGTTGGCTTTAAAAGTAAACAAAACAACAATGAACTGATTTATCCGTTTTGGGGGGTTATCCTAATCTAATATAGATGAAAATAATGGTTTGGTTTGGTAACTTCCCATCCTGCCTTCCTTGCACACAAGAGACTTAATAGTTATTTGTTAACTAGCACGTACAAGGATTTGGAAAATGTTCCTACCAGTTAAAAATGAATGCTTATCAAACAGACTTCTCTGTCAGTTAACAAAATAAGCTCTCTAAGCATATGCTAGAAAGGCTATGAGGGGTGGGGGAAGGACGGGGACGGGAGGGCTGATCCAAAAGAAAACGTGAGACAGTCCCCACTCTTCAAGGGTCTCTCAATTCGTTAGAGTACAAGAGTATACATGAAAGAGTCAGAGACTAATTAATTGCTAACCTGAGTGGTACAGACTTTAAGTGCAAGAGCTGTCCAAAGAAGTTTAAATATCTAAAGATTGGAATAATAATATTACTTTTAATAGCTATCACTTGAGTACTTACTATAAGGCAAGTGCTTTACAGGCGTTATTTAGTCTTCACAACAATGCTCTGAGTATTTATTATTCCCAATTTACTCAAGGGTAAACGGTCAAAGTGGTTAAGGAACTTACCCAAGGTCACTCGGCTAGTTAAGTGGCTAAAACTGCCGCTTACCCAGGCAATCCAAGTCCAGCGCTCACACTAAGACTGCATAAGGCAGCGCGAGCGCGGCAGGGGGGTGGGGAGGGCCATATAGGCTGGCGCTATTACACGCGCAAGATCGGCCAACGCATTCCCCGCGTTTCGTTCCAAGTAACGAAGTTTCAAAGATCCGTATCTCACGCCAGCAACCGTAAACTGACTACGGGGGTCGGCGCGCAACCACAGCAAAAACGGCTAACAGGAGTTAACCTCAGACGGGGCTGAGCTTTAATTAATAAAGCGATTCAGAGGAAAAAATTTGCAATAAGTTATTTGTTTTAAAATCTGGGGTTTGTTCCGCCGCTTAAGAGAATTTTCCCCCCGAGACAGGGAGAGCTGAAATTCGGGGCAAGGAAACCGCGGTTATAGCAAATTACTGTTTTCTGTATTACTGAAAGAAAAAAACAAAAACCCAAGTTGTGGGTCTACAGGAAACGCGTTATTCTAGGTACACGAGAACCTTGGAGAGTTGCCAAAATTAGTTGCAGTCCCAGGACAAAATGGGGTTTAGGAAACATTTAATGACGAAAGTTGATTCCAACCCGAAACGGCTCTAAGGTGAAAAGACGGAGCAAAGAAATGCCGGTAGGTCTTCGGGGAAAGCGGCAATCCTTGCTACACTTCGCCCACGGGCAGCGGCGCCGCGCGAGGCCGGGACAGTCCGAGAGACAGCTCCCGGGGAGGACGAGAGGTGCCAAGCGGGGTTCTTCCCGAAGCCCCGGGCTTCGCGGCGGCGGGCGGAGAGGAGGGGAGGGAGTCCGGGACGGTTCGGACTTCGGGCAGAGGAGGCGCCAGGCTCCAAACTGCGGAGTCGAACGGGTGCAGAGTAAAGAAATGGGACAGACTGAAAGTCCGAACCCTCCCGGCGCGGCCCCGTAAAGAGAAAGGAGCCAAGTGAGCTCAAGCGATGAGGGGGACAAAAAGAGACGGAACGAAAGCGCAGGGACCCGTAGGGACAAAACGGGAGTTCTGCTAAGAGGCTAAAAAAGACAAGCTCCGGCGGGCAGCGGGGCTTTCTGGGAAGCCGGGGAAGGCAGGAGGTCGGCGGCGATTACCAGTACCTCTCATCCCCGAGTTCGAAACTCCTAGACAACCATCCACACCCGCCACCCGGATGGGGGAGGGGACACCTCTTCCCCGCCACCACCTCCCCCCAAATATGAGAGCAAGGCTGACGCCCGAGCCCAGCCCGGCCGTGCGCCCGCCTCCAGCCCGGACACTCACAATTCGCCTCTCCCTGATTTCTCCCAGTTCTTTATCCACTCTACGGGAACCAAGACAGTTGCGGCCGCCATCTTCCCCTCACTAGTAGCAGAAACCCGGATGTGTAACACGCGAGCGAGGGGTCAAAGGGGAGCACCGCCCACGA